CAAAAAAAAATATAACTCAGTAAGGAAACTACCTTCTTCTTCTCTTTAAACAAATATTTATAAAATAAATAAAACATAGTTAAATTGATAAATATTCTAAATAAGATCCGAAAGCCACATTCTAAATATGTCTGTAAGGCGTAGCAATGAAAACCTTGCAGCCATACCACCTGCCGGTGAAGGTTTCTTTTGTACAATTTGTAATGTAGTCACTGAGGGCGAAATACTTACCACACCTTGCAGACATCAATTTCATAGAGAGTGTCTATTAACTTGGTTAGACAGCAATGAGACTTGTCCTTTGTGACGACAGCACCTAACTCGATCAGATATAAATCCAGAATCGGTGGAAGCAAGAGCTCAGGCTTTGCAGGTACCAAGCGCAGCAACAGCAGGCAGTTCAAGATCTGGAGCAATACCCAGAACTCGACCCGCCACTAGGAACAGTGCGAGAAACGTACAAAACCCTTCTAATTTACCAAGGCCACAACAGAATACGCCAAACCGCGAATCAGTGCGTCAGGGTGTAGCAGCAATTCCCCAAAACATAACGGAAGAGCGTGTTCAACAAATTATTTATTTATTTATTTATTTATTTATTAAGAATAGCAAATATCTGCCATTTTGAATCCATATCCTTACCTCAGACCGGATAAGGAGTGTTTTTTAATGATATGCTCCGACTCACATCAGGTGGTCAGAGGCAAGGATAGGTGTCTTAAAATATTATTTTTGTTAAAGTCTAATGACATTTCAAAATATAAAAGGGAGTACATGTCGTTGTAAAGCGAACATAAAACGCGAAAAGGATCGTGTGCCTCGAAATTAGTTTTACAAATATCCAAAGCTATAGGCCGAAAGTAACGTGATGGCCTAGAAGGAACTGAAAAGCGTATTTGCTTAAGAAGATTACTGGAAAAAATATATCCATTTATTAATTTATGCAGGAACATTACGCCATGGCAGGTACGACGATCCTTAAGAGAGGGCAGGTCCAGAAGGCGTAGTCTGTCGGCATACGGAGGAAGGTGGCGATGAGGGTCCCAGTCTAAACCCCGAAGAGCGAACAAAAGGAATTGTTTCTGTACCGATTCGATAAGATCCTGATACTTTGCATATTGAGGGGACCATACGCACGAACAATATTCGAGTATGGGCCGAACCAGGGATATATATAAAAGTTTTGTAGTGTAGGGATCATCGAATTCCTTAGACCATCGTTTTACGAAAGCAAAAACTCCCTTTGCTTTACCAACAATTATACCGATGTGATCGGTGAAGCTCAAGTTGTGGGTAAATAGAACACCAAGATCCGTTACAGAGTGGATACGTTCAAGAACACTCGTGCCTAAGGAATAGTTAGCCTGGAAACAATTTCTGCGGTAAAACGACATGTATTTACATTTGGAGTTGTTGAGAAACAATAAATTGTGAGTGCACCAGGACATCATGTTGTTTAAATCAGCTTGCAAGAGCTGAGCAGAGTCAGGATTCACAAGAGGCAAACATAGTTTTACGTCATCAGCATACATCAAGACGTAAGAGTGGAGAATAACTTGGGGCAGATCATTTATAAAAATGCCAAATAGAAGAGGACCGAGGTGGCTCCCTTGAGGAACGCCAGAAGTCACGTGAACAAGGTTTGAGAATGAACCCTTGAATGCAACTCTTTGAGTACGGTTCGACAAATATGTAGAAATCCACTTGATCAACGTAACCGGAAAACCCAACAGACAAAGTTTCTTCAGCAGTAATTGATGATTCACCGAATCGAAAGCTTTGCTGAAATCTGTAAAGATAACATCGGTTTGGGTGTTATTTTTAAATGCGTTTCTAATGACAGCAACAAACTCAAGGAGATTTGTAGACGTTGATTTACGTTTCATGAAGCCATGCTGTGAGGGGGGACATTATTGAGCTACATTGGTGCTGAAGCTGAGTAGTAATTAGAAATTCGAATAATTTGGGAATCGCACTAAGTTTTGCAATACCTCTATAGTGCTCAATATTAGATTTACTGCCCTTTTTGTGAAGCGGAATGATAAACGATTCTTTCCAAACTTTGGGGAAAAACGAATGCTGAAGTGATAACTGAAAAAGTCTAGACAATGGTCTACATAATGAGCTGGCACAATTTCTCAGAACACAGCTAGGTACAAGATCTGGACCAGAGGAAAAGGAAAGTTTGATTGTTCTAAGATTATGAAGAACATCATCTTCGCTGATTACAGGCATAAAAATGCAATTGGAATGCGGGAGTGGAAAAGAATACTCTGAGTTATTATCGAAATTAGTTTGTGAGTATGTAGTCTGGAAGAACTTTGCGAACAGGTTCGCGATATCAGGCTCATTGGAAGCGGAGGCATTATCGAAATGAAGACATGAAGGAAATTGTTGAGATTTCCGTTTCGAGTTTACAAAAGCGTAAAATTGCTTCGGGTTAGCCTGAAACTCAATTTTGCACCGATTTAAGTGGTTTCTGTAGCATTCAGAATTGTGTGCTAGGAAATTTGTACGAGCAGTTAAATATCTCGAATGGTCGACTTGAAGACCAGATTTGCTATACTTTTTAAACAGTCTGGATTTCAGATTTTTTAGATATGAAAGCCGACGAGAAAACCAAGGGGGCTTATGAGAAACTTCTGGTGAGGGAAATGAAGGGACATACATGTCGAAAACTGAGTACATTATTTCATAGAAACGCTTAACAATGTCTGAGGGATCCTCTGTGGAGTTCAAGAAAGTCCAATCCGTTAAGGATAAGTGGTGGTTCATTTCTGTAAACTTAGCTTTTCGAAAGCAACGAAACGTTGCAGGCTCAGCTTCCGGACACAATAATAATGGTGTGGAGGCTTCGAGGGTTAGCTCCAAAGTGGGATGATAAGCGTCCTCAGGACTAGAAAGAGGGTCAATTCTAGTGACGTAGGCATTGGCAAACTCAGAGACAAAGATGAGGTCTAAGACGTTATTACTGCAGTTTCTAACAAAATTTAATTGTCCCAATGAATGGTCAATGAGACCATGAATTAAATCGTGGGGTGAGGTGGGAACAAGAACATTTGAATCAGGTAAGGGCATCCAGGAAATGGAGGGTAGATTAAAATCACCCGTGACGATAAGGTGGTCATTAATACCAAGGGAAGAATGAATTTCTTGAATTAAGGATAAATGCTGCATATAAATATCAGTGTCAGACCTAGGTGGAATATACGAGCATGAAACGTAGATAGAATAATCGTAAACCTGGATGCGAACCGCCACAAACTCTATATCAGTGTCAGTTTTAGAAATGATATTGGAAACCAGATCGGATTTAACCGCAATGAGAACACCACCGCCTGTCCGTATAGGACGATCACGTCTAAAGATGGCATAGTTCCCTGAAAAAATCTCAGAGTCAGACACAGAGGAGTTGAGCCATGTTTCTGTAAAGACAATAACATTGGCATCGAAAGAGACACTATTGACGTGCAGCCTACTGAGCTTGCCAAGTAAACTACGAACATTCTGATAGTGAAGAACAAAAGAGTCTATTAGTTTTTTGGAGGCCTAGTTGAGGGAGTTTGAGGCCCGCGAGCACGAGGAGTACTTTTGTGTTCGAATTCATGAACAATTGCATGCTTAGGCCACACAGAAGGATCAAGAGCCTTAGAAAATAGTTGGTCAGAAATTGTAATTTTAAACGAAGATATATCACGTCTTTCCTTAAAATTGAATTTGGAGACACTAAATTCAGTAACAGAAACATTCAATTTGCTGCTCAAGTGGGTCTTAACGTCGCCCTCAGAAGCATCTGGATTGAGGCGGGAAACAAATATCTGTTTTTTCGGAGCAACACCAGCCAAAGGCACCGGTCCGCGTTTGGCAACGCCAGAAATTGTCGACTGTTGGGGGCCGCTTCTGGTAACGGCCGGCACCGAGATACTGACCACCGGGGGAGCCACTGGGTTGGGATTTGACACCACCGACGCGTCGTTGATGGCAGCAGCACGCGACGTGGATGCCTGATCGGTGTAGACAGGCTGCTGAACCGGGAGCATGGTGGCTTCGCCCCCTCCGAGAATGGGGACTGGTGCAGCAACTTCAGCAGAGGCAGCAGCGTGCAACGTGGACGCCTGGACAACGTTGACAGGCTGCTGATCCAACGGCCTGACAAGATCTTCAACCATAGAAGTTGTGATCGATGATGCATCATCACCAGAGCCGTTATCCACGGCTGCAGGCTTGGCACGTGGGGTGAACTGCATAAGGGGGCATTCAGGGTCTGGAAGAGATAAGAACTTTTCAGACAGGTTGCTCTTGTTTTTGTTTACGGGGTCACTTAGCAGTTTAAGCGACTTGAAATGGTGTTCCGCCTTCTGGAAGCGAGTTGACAACTCCTTAAAGCCGGCCGCCAACGACTGAAACTCCAGGTGAGTCTGCCTCATGAAGACCCGCATATCGGATTTGATATGCAGGCAGCTCGGGCACGTCCAGTCCAATCCAGGATTTTCGCGAATGCGGTCGGTGATACGCGATCCATTTTGCCCCAGATCGGCGCATCCAATGTGGGCGATATTATCACAGAGCCAGCAGTAGACAGTGACATGCCGCGAAGAAATTTTTTGGCCGTTCGGGCACTTAGGGAAACAACACGTAGCCATTATTGGAATAAAAAAATACTTTATCCAAGTAAATTACGAATTGGATTAATTTATTTGCGCGACGAGATGGCCGATCAAAACAAATTATACAATTGTTTTTTTGAAAAAAAAAAAATTGTTTAAGTTTCGCGGCGAACAGACCGATCAAAACAGAAAGCGAAGAGCGCACAAATAAAAGCTTTTATCTAAGCGCCAAAAAATAAGAAATTTGTGTTATTGATTTAGCTAGCGCCAACAACAAATACAAGGCGATGCAGCGATAAGCGGTAAACACAATGCACAAGAATAGTAAGGCAAGGCAATTGTAAAATCGAAATTGTTTTACGACGTGACAGCCCGGCCTGTTTTCCGGCAACCATGGCCAAGAGCAAGAAGCAAGTGCGCGAATTCCAAGCCGCCAAGGAGGCTGCCGAGGCCACAGTCGCCCGGCTGGTCACCTGCAACGATGCCTACACGAGCGGAGCCTTCAAATACCTGCGCTTTCTGCTGCACCTGCTGGCCGCAGCTCAATTCTCCTACGGCATTTACTACCACTACTTCCGGGTGCACTGGCCCAAGGACTTGGTGGAGGAGGACGAGGTGGCCGAACTGAAGGCCCGATGGGGTGGCAAATTCAAATACCTCACCTTCCTGGACGTCATCCTGCAGGCCATTTACCACACACTGGCCCTGCTCAACGATCTCTTTGGCGACAACACAGTCACCGCCGAGCCAAAGTCCAAGCTGAGATCTCTGCGGGATTACATCTTTGCGGCCTTTGCCTTTCCAGTGGCCCACAATGTTTGCCTGTCGTTCTGGGTCGTCTACATGTGGGACCGTGAGCTCATCTTTCCCTCGGCCCTGGATGCAATTTTTCCCAGCTGGCTGAACCACGTGGTGCACACCAATGTGGCTCTTATGGCCATTATGGACTTGTTCACCTGCTTCCGTCGCTACCCCAGCCGCCTGGCCGGCCTCGCGGGCAACTTCTCCTTCATCCTGCTGTACATCATCTGGCTGCACATTGTGCGTTACTTCAGTGGCGAGTGGGTCTATCCGATTCTGGAGGTGTTGCCCCTGCCGCTGCGCTACCTATTCCTTGCCCTGCTGGTGGGCTTCAACCTGGCGTGCTATCTGCTCGGGGAGTATGCCAACACGGTGATCTGGGGCCCAGAGTTCAAGCTGCTCAAGCAGCAGAAGAGCAAACAGGGCTAGGAAGAGGAAAGATGTATTGACAGCTACTTTGATATACCGAGATTTTAAGTATCGAAATTATCGATAAATAACTGAAATTGTGTATCTGTCTTCTATCCATGATTAATAGCTTCTTGTAAGGATTTAAAATCATTTTATTCGTCACACAGACAACATTTTAAGAATATTTTGTAAATCTTATAAAGGCACTTTTGAGAGGTACGATCAATGTATGTACTTTGTATCGTACATTAGGGTACTTATACATATAAACTAGAGCCTAGTTTCAAGTCCTTGCCAAGGAAAACGCTCTCTATATTACTCTGAGCATTTTCCTTGGCTTAAATCAGAGAAAGAGAGTTTTGTAAAATAATATTCGTAGCTCTTACAATGTATGAGTATTCGTAATTCGTTGTAGTTACGCTTGATCTGATCTGTTCAAATGGTTAGAGCTCTGCTTATCATGTATATACCGTCCAAACTTGTCAACAGACATTATGCAAATAACCTTATTTGAATACTGTTGTATTAATATATACTTCATTAGAATATTATTTGAGCCTCTCTCATTTCTTCAATTATAGATGTAATTTCATTCTCATGACTTGAATTTCCTGCAGATTTCGATGCTATTAATAGCTGTAATCGCTCAACTAATTCATTTGGATTATCCCAATAGACATACTTTGGTTTATTCATGTCAAGTCTCATGAAACCAGTCCCTGTTATTAGTGGATTAGTATGTTTCGGTGTAGATTCAGCAATAGGAGATTTAGCTAAAAGTGGTTTAATAATGCTGGAATATTTAAATGCTCTCGTTCCTTTCACCTGTCCATTTGGAAGAAAATTTCTTCGATAGACATTGGTTTTTAATAAAATTGATCTATAAATTTCCAATTCATCTGCATTATAATTTTCTGGATGATTATGAAAAATTAGGGAATATAATCCATTAGTAAGTCGCCACTTTTGATTATCATCAAATAAAATGTTATTGTTGGAAACAGTAATGCGACTGCTTCCAAGCATTAATTGACCATTTTCATTTTTTCTTGGGCCATATGTTTTATCCAAAATTCGGTCTCGTGCCAGTTCACTAATGTTGAAATTTTTTGAACTGTCCTCATCTTCCAATGCTCGATTCGATATCGAAGACGATGCGTCATTAGGTAGTTGACTTGTTAGCGCAGGTGATGTGGTAGGAGAGATAACATCATCCTCCTCTATAGCTGGTTGAGAAAAGAAATGGTCATCATCATCATCATCTTCGCCATCAGCATCATTATCGCGTTTTATTTTCCAATCATTTGAGTTGAAATCATCATTATGTTTAGGTGTTGATTTTTGTTTATTTGCAGTGTAAAATATGAGTTTTCTCTTCTTATGTGGGGGGGTATCAATGCCTAATGTTGAATTGGTTTGTTTAGTTTTTATTTCTGTATTATCATTTGAAAAATCCTTTGGAAGTATATGTTGTAATTTTTTATTATTATTATTAACAAGTTCATGTAATGGGTCAGTTATAGGTTTAAATGCTTCTTCCAAACCCATAGTATTTAGAGATTGATATTGTTTTAATTCTGAAAATTTTTTCTTAAGAGCATTTCGACTTTTTGTCAATTGACTTAAAATATTTTCATTTATCATCATAAATAATGAAAATTAAAAGTTTATGAAGTAAAGTGGATATTACGTCTTCACAGTTGAAAAATGAACTGATGAATAAATCATGTTTCGATATCATTTATACCGAAATCATAAAACCTTATTAGACCTACCAGCTGATCAGATAATCAGACCTGATACCTGATCAGATAAACAGACCTGATAGCTGATCAGATAAACAGACCTGGTACCTGATCAGATAAACAGACCTGGTAGCTGATCAGATAAACAGACCTGGTAGCTGATCAGATAAACAGACCTGGTAGCTGATCAGATAAACAGACCTGGTAGCTGATCAGATAAACAGACCTGGTAGCTGATCAGATAATCAGGCCTAGTACCTGATCAGATAAACAGACCTGGTACCTGATCAGATAATTAGACCTGCTAATGTGTGTTTTTGCATTCTGAAAAAAAGAAACCTGAAATTGAAAACCAAATTCCCAATATCAAATTTATAAAAATTTATTTTATTTTATTTAATGAAATATTTATTTAATAATATTTATTTTTTATTATTTTTTATTTTATTAATATTATTATTATTTTTAAGCTGAAAAGAAAATGCTGAAAAATATGTTTCCCATTCCCCAAATAAAAAATGTTTTAATTTACTTTCATATTATTTTTATTTTTTATTTTTTATTTTTTTAAGCTGAAAAGAAAATGCTGAAAAAAATGTTTCCCATTCCCCAAATAAAAAATGATTTAATTTACTTCTCATAATATTTATTTTTTTTATTTTTTTTTAACTTTTTAAGCAGAAAAAGAAAAAAAAAATGTTTCCCATTCCCTAAATAAAAAATGATTTAATTTACTTCTCATAATATTTTTTTTTTTTTTTTTATTCATTTATTTATTTAATTTTCACATTTTTGGGAACACATTTGCGTTCCCATCCTCAACTTTTATTAGCATATACGTTATATTCCTAAATTTTTGTATCTCAATATCCTTAATTTCATTAAACCTCTCTGGGAGGTAAACATAGTGGAAGTCCAGCTCCAACTTTATGTTAGAGCCGAACTTCCCACTCACCCTCTTCCCCGAATGAATCTCCAATGGGACATTCACCGGTAATGCATTGAAGCTAATTTTTGACTTAATGCGGCATCCGTTGAATGCCACCATCAACGGATCCTCCTCGATATCCCTAATTAGGGCGTCAATATCCTCTTGGTTTACACCAAGAGGCAAATTGTCGATTTGGTTGTTGATGATAGCATTGTTCTCATTGTTATTCATCATGCTGGTGGTGGTGGTGGTGGTGGTGGATCTGGAGCTGCTGGAGCTGCTGGAGCTGGTGGTGGTGGTGGTGGTGCTGGTGGTGGTGGTGGTGCTGGTGGTGGTGGTGGTGGTGGTGGTGGTGGTGCTGGTGGTGCTGGAGCTGGTGGTGCTGGAGCTGGTGGTGCTGATGCTGATGCCGATGTCGATGCCAATGTCGATGCCGATGCCAATGTCGATGCCGATGCCGATGCTGATGCTGATGCTGGTAGTCACTGAAACACAGTTTTGTGTGTGTGTGTGTGTGTGTGTGTGTGATTGGTTAAAAAGGGATAGATTGGCTAGTACCTGTTGAGCGAAGGGCAATAAAAAATGGAGGTAGCGATACACCAAAGCATCATTAGCGAGACGAAGAGCAGTCTAGCAAGAATTTTAGACATAAGTGACCACAGTTGAGGGTTCCAAATTTTTGTACCCGCTGATAATTAAACATGAGATTTTTTCCCAAATATAAAACTACTTCCAAAGGTGGTTGTAAATTTCCAAAACTGTCGAAATAATATGAATCTTTTCCTTTTTTAAAATAAGCCACCCAATGCGTTCCAATTGATGAAGAGTCTGCTAAATTAATTACTCCATACTCATGAAGATTTGGGAATTTCGGTAATTCATCCTTCATGTATACTCCACGAAAATGTGGAATATTTTTTAAAGCCGAACCTCATTATATCAAAATTGGATAATGCCCTTTTGGGTAGCTCACTTAGTAGTTTTTTTGAATACGTTTTCGTTTCTGTTTATTTTTTGTAAATGAAATCCCATATCCTTTCCTATATGGCTGTAAATATAGGCCCTCACCCAACGCAACTGATTCCATCTTTCTATTATGCCTCTCGTTTTCTTGCAGCTGTGCTTTTGCTAGTCTTGCATTATTAATAGTCTTTGCAAGTAGTAGGGAAATCTAACATCCAGGCCAGTTTTATCTTAATTGCTAATTAGGGTCATTAATTAAATAGATAGGGGTGATCTGACCCCTGTCACCTTAAAAGGGTAGGGTAATAAAAATTGATTAGGGTGTGATTGAATGGATTGAGGACACGTGAGAAACGTGTGCGGAAGCACCCCGAAGACGCACTCGATACGTGAGCGAGGGAGCGAGGGAGCGATAACGCACACGATACGTCTTCGAGTGCGTATGCGAGGGAGCGATATCGTTCGATCCGCACGCGAGCGGGAGCGTAACCGCCTCGAAGACGCACTCGAAACGGCTTCGAGAGGGAGCGATAACGTTCGATCCGCGCGGGAGCGGGTACGTTACCGCCTCGAAGACGCATTCGAAACGGCTTCGAGAGCGAGCGATAACGTTCGATCCGCGCGGGAGCGGGTACGTTACCGCCCCGAAGGCGCACTCGAAACGGCTTCGAGAGGGAGCGATAACGTTCGATCCGCGCGGGAGCGGGTACGTTACCGCCCCGAAGGCGCACTCGAAACGGCTTCGAGAGGGAGCGATAGCGTTCGACCCGCACGCATTCGTTTCCCACAATCAAATCCCACACCAAAAGGGGATGGAGGGTGAAAAGGTCAGTGCGATCCTTAAAGGGATGAAGATGACACCGGGTACACCTGCAAACGCACAATGCAATGAAGAGGGAGGGATGAAAAGGTCAGTCGAGATTTTTGCTTGTGATACATATGGAGACTTGTGTGTACACGAAAGGACAAGCTGGCCAGCGATCATCCATTTCATAAAGAGAGGGGAGGGCGCTCATAGACAGGTAAAATAATATATGCGACCGGGAATCAAGGGATGAGGTTTAAACCCATGCCACATACCCTTTCGGTGTCAAATAACACTCCCCCTCAGTGTCATAAAAAAAAAGGTTGTTTACGATGTTGACTAATTGAAGACTTCTCAAGAAGGTTACAGCTCATTTATTAATGGGTGGGTGAAGGGAACATGCATTGATATACAACCCGTTTAAAAACTAATTTCAAAACAAAGAAAAGGAAGGGAAAAGTCAACGAAGGCTGGCGCCGAATGCCGTCCACATTAGAGGCAATCTCATTTGCTTAATGTGATAAACAAAGGACCATGGCTTCGTATACCAGCAGTTCTCAAAAGTCATTTCAAA